ATATATATATAAGTCTAACTTTTCTAAAAATATGTTAATAAACTAATAATATGCATGAACTCAAAGCTTATAATTAAAAAAAAAAAAAACATTAAAGTCAGATCGCGCAGCACTATATATATCATATATCTTTTCAAGATTCAAAAACAAAAAGACCGGTCGAAGTGTGGACAAAACAAAAATTACACATGACTACTACTAAGACAAGCATTTGGCTTGGATTTCAAAAGAAAATTTCCTATAAACTACAAAAAATTTATATCAAGTTTCATACACCACATTACACATCGTAATGTAGAAGAAAACTCATAAAACAAGAATCTTAATTAAGGTCATACAAATAAATTTGGTTCATAGAAACTAAGACTAAAAAAATTTGTATAGAATATATATTTCAAATCTTAATCACATTAAATCTGTATTTCAAATTACTAAATTTGAATTTAAATAAATAAACCAATCAAAATTTAAATATTTTTATCTAACAGAAATTTTAATAACGTTAATAAATTTTGAACCTAATATAACAGTAGGTTTTAAAAAATAATTATTTAATTAAATTTTTTAAATAATTAGTAAAAATATACCAATATAAAATATATATTTCAAATCTTAATGACATTAAATTTGAATTTAAATAAATAAACTAATCAAAATTTAAATATTTTTATCTAACAGAAATTCTAATAACGTTAATAAATTTTGAACCTAATATATATATGTAGAAGAGGGTTCAAACGACACTGGTGTAACTTTTACTAAGTGTTACACCGCTCAATAACTTTATATTAAATGTGAATTTTAAAAATCCAACCGTTAGATGGAAAGTTCATATCTCTTAGATCATATATGTCAAATTTTGTTAAAATTGAACAACAACTTGAAGGTAATCAAAGTGTTCATATTTTAGTATATTTTAAAATGTATATATTACGTCAATTTTGTTTTATGAGAATGAAGTATCAAATCATCTTAGATTAATATAAAATTTGATATATATGATCTAAGAGATATGAACTTTCAATCTAACGGTTGGATTTTTAAAATTCACATTTAATATAAAGTTATTGAGCGGTGTAACACTTAGTAAAAGTTACACCAGTGTCGTTTGAACCCTCTTCTACATATATATATTAGGTTCAAAATTTATTAACGTTATTAGAATTTCTGTTAGATAAAAATATTTAAATTTTGATTAGTTTATTTATTTAAATTCAAATTTAATGTCATTAAGATTTGAAATATATATTTTAATAATAGTTTTATTTTAAATTTTAATCACATTAAATTTATATTTCAAATTATTAAATTTGAATTTAAATAAATAAACCAATCAAAATTTAAATATTGTTATCTAACAGAAATTTTAATTTTAATAGCGTTAATAAATTTTGAAGCTAATATATATAACAAAAATTAGGGTTAAAGAACAAGAAAGATAAAGAACACTCGTACATACACTTCAGCCTGAAACTGACAACGTTTGCGAAAGAGAAAAAGGTCGTGAGAATTAACAACACCACCATGGACATGATCAGTGAGTTACCCGACTCGATTCTACTCCACATATTGGATTTGATGGAACCAAAGCAAGCTGTTCAAACTTGTCTCTTATCCAAACGATGGAAGAACCTTTGCAAGCAACTCACCAATCTCACATTCACATTCTCTCCCGACCCCACTCCTAATTACCTTGTTCCATGGATCCGCAGTGTTAAAAGTTTCGAAAACTTCACTTCTTGGATTCTTTACACTCGCGATCACTCTTGTTCCCTGCACAATCTTTGTTTTCACACTTGTACCGACCCTGAACTCTCTGACAGCCTCGTTAAATATGCTGTGTTACACGATATCCGACATTTGGAAATTCGTATACTTTCATGCTATAGATTCACTACTGTGTGCACCCCTTTGCTCTTTTCCTCTCACTCTTTGACGTCACTTTCACTTTGTATTTACCATGGCTGGAACCCTTCCCGCATAATACTTCCAAAGACTCTTCACTTGCCTTCAATAAAAAGATTGCATCTTGATGGTTTCACATTTACTGCAAGCGACAATCATTCTGCTGAGCCCTTTTCGATGTGTCGCGTGCTGCACAATTTGGAACTTCAATATTGTGAATTGCATGATGATGCACAAGTCCTATGCATATCTAATTCTACTCTTTCCGGTTTGACTATAATTGGACAAGAAGCTCCCCTAATTGTGTTTTCTACT